TGGTGCTTAGTTGCTGGCTGGGGCTAAACCACGACAGAGAGCTAATTTCAGCTTTAAAACCTGGGACTTGAAGTACAACCAAACAAGCCCTCTACTCCTGCCCCAGACAATAATTTGAAGCCAAGTATCACAAAATCTGCTGGTATTTAATGTTATCTCTGGCTCAATGTATTGGATTGCAGAGAAGGGCCTTGGAGAAGAAGACAAGTGAAAACTTCCTGGCAGAATATCCTTGCACGGAGGCTCACCCCCTCCATCAGCCTCGCGGGCACAGGGCGGCTCATTGTCTGGGCTCGCAACAGCAACAGTTACTAGCAGCAATGCCGGTGTTTACAGTTTGTAAAAGCAAAGGTATTTCAAACCCTTTTGTTACAGATGTTTAAAATGCTGGCTAAAGCCTACGCAGATGCACATCCTGTCATCTCAGACCGATCCGAACTTCGTTGTGGTGGAAATTTTGTGAAACGTGGAGGTATTATAAATGGTGCTGAGTGGTACAGCTTCACTGGAGGTAAAACCACTTTACCATCATATCAAGTGAGGTAAAACCTCTATATGACCTTTATGAGACACAAGGGTTTGAAAGAAATAATTTTATTCATTTCAGTTTGCTTTAGGTCAGACCCCTGCAAAACGTAACCTGTAAAGGATTTAAGTTGCAAAATGTATCTTGGTAACATTTATGTTCAGATACCATAGGATGTATTCAGCCCTGATACGACCTGAGAAAAGTTAACAAGTTATACAAGGGTCAAATTTGTTATTGCATATAATATCATTCTATTCTTAAAATATGAAATGTAGAAATAAATGCTTCATGCTATGCTCTCATTCCTTAGCAGCATGAATTTGAATCCATCCTGCACACTTGGCAAGTGCAGCTTAAATAAACACATTTTCAGGCAAAACTACAACAGAGACAAACATCCCATTCATTTGTGCTTAGGTTGCTAATTTGATTTTCCCAATAACAGTATTTAGTTTTCTTCAAGATTTCTGAAATACTGGCATGGATGAAATATCAGTGTTCATAAAATTTTCAGCAGTGCTTCAGTTCTGTTTTCAAATAGGACTGTAGCTGGATCCCCAAATAATTATGTTGATACTAGGCATTTAGAGAGCTTTGGGGCATGAGTGAGAATTAGGTTTAAATATCTTCAGCTTACATTCTTCTGAAAATTATATCCAATGTCTTTTGTACAGAAACAGTTTTGAACATACTAATGGCAAAAGGTCGTATCTTTGCTAGTGACCCTTGGCAATGACCTCTGATACAGCCGATTATCCAATTACCATGATTAACCAATCCTTATCTCTCTACTGCTACTTCTTGGTCAGGTGAAAAATAATTTTAAATTATGCTTTTTCACCAGAAAGAAGTGTCGTTGTCATTAGTTAATTTGTAGTTGAAACAAGTTGTAGAACTGTGAATTTGTTGAATACTTTTTATGTATTGGCCATGCAGACTCTTTACAATATGTGTATCCACACCCACAGGGATTGCATTCAGCTGACTGCAACAGCAAAACTCCAGTTAAGGGTTAAATGGCTTGTTCATGATCTCTCCTTTTTCTTTTTAAACCTGTAGGTATGGCAGATTTTAATTACCTTCACACAAATTGCTTTGAAGTTACTGTGGAGGTAGGATGCGAAAAGTTTCCTTTGGAGGAAGAGCTGTTCACAATCTGGCATGAAAACAGAGATGCCCTTCTGAATTACATGGAAATGGTACAGCTCTGCTTTTATAGACCTTTGTGCTTATGGTTTTTCTTCTTCATCTTTGTCAGTATTTGCTGCTTTACTGTTCCCTGGTTAGTTATGAATGAGATAGCACCCACTCAATCATCACACTCCACTCGGGACCCCAGTGCCTCAGTTTGTCTAGCAGGACACACAGATAATATTTTACCTACCTTGCAGGAATGATGGAGACTGAGGACTGTAAAGGCCTTGAAAACAGTGAAAAAGGGAATTGCCTGTAAATACTTTGTGCAACATTGTAAATCAACTGTCCAAACTTTAATGCTAGAGAAAACCTACATATTCAGAAAAATATAACTCAGCCTTTCTCTTGAAGAATAAACCAACAAGATCTACTTTCCCGAGAGCTTCTTGGAACTTTTTCCTTTACATATTCCATGTTTGTGGCCCAAACCCTACTGCACAGCAGCAGGAGATTTAGATTCAGCTGAAATGGAGAGGTTTTAAATATCTTGCTAGAAATGCCATTTCCACACTTTTCAGCTTGATTTCTTGATGAAAGTAGTTAAAAAAGATCTAAGCCTGATCTTCTAAAGGAAAAACTGTAAGTCTGTGAGCATTAACGCATGCCATTTAAAAGTCATTTTTAATAATAAGTTTAAGCTCAGCAAAAACAAATACCTCACTGACAATAAGTAAGTGAACACAGAAACAGAAGTTGCTCATCTTCCTCTCAGCCATTAGTAGATTAGCTTTCTGTCATGCCTTATTTTGATAGAGTATGCAGTATTTTAAAATTGTTAGGAGTGTTTTTATGGCCCTTCTAAGCAACCTCTTGCTACTTGTGGTAAGTATTATCATTCAATAAAGTCTACAGCACAGACCACCAAACTCATTTCATTTTACAGCTGTCTGATGAAAATGAGTTTTAGTGAATCCAAATGGAGCTGGGTTAAATCCATATATATTGCAGTTGAAGTCTTGAAGATGTAAAGATTTTTATAGTGTGAGATACTGTAGAAGTCTATGCCGGAAAAGCTTTTTGAGTAAATGCAGGACAGTAAGCAAAACAACTTTGTAGATAAGGATGACTGAATTACTCCCGATAAGGATTAAGTCTGCCATAACCAATTCAAACTTTTCTTATTCTGATATATACCAGGCTGTTTGGTGTGTGTACAAATCTACTTGGCTTAACACGCAGAAGTAGAATTCATTTTCATAAACACTGATCTCTTCTTCCCATCAGAATTGGTATCAAAACACTCTCCCAAATTTACGTGGCACAAACTTGAGGCAAAACCAAAAATAGTATATTTACTAAAGCAAAACAAATCATCATTGTTAAAGAAATTTCAATTTTGTTATTTTTATCCCATCATGTTGTAATTGCAAAATTATTGTTGAAGTTGGATGAGGTCATACTACTTTGAGTATGTCTACACTGTAAATTAAATTTGGGTCTGAGATGACTCTTCTGACCAGATTTACCCACTATCCATATGATAAATCCTCAAGTCCATGCTGAAAAGCAAATTGCAGTGCTTCATCATAATAGTTCTTAAGGGACTTCAAGTCCTTATACTGAGTTGTTCCTAAACCCTCCAGTGAATAGCTCCACTCAGTATGGAATGGCTATTTAACAAGAGAAGTGACAACACAGCCTCACCTTAAATAAAAAACTGCTGTCACTAGACTAGACTTTTTTTTTCTAGCTTCATATTAAGAATTACTGTAAAGTTGGATATTTTAATATTTATTTTTAAACATTTCTATATTCCAACAGGAAAGCAAATATATTTTTCCATTGTTTTGATGCTTTGTTCTTTTTTTATTCTTCTGTGACAAATAATAACGGGGAGGGAAAAATGGGAGGAAGAGAAGGAATGGTAGGGAGAATTGAAGTAAGAAACAGCTCAAGCTGATCATAGCACTTCAGGGAAAAATCAAAATGGGAATTACTTTTCATTTAAAAAGGTCATATAGAGTTTCCAATATAAAATGTTTTCATTTTGGAAGGTTGCAAAAAAAAGAATCTTAAGAAGTTTAATGTTTAAACACTTGATTTTTTTCCTGTTTTGTTTTATTTTATTGAACTTCAAATATAGTGAGCTGTTTGTACACCTCTTTGTATGACAGAATTCACACTGCTCTTCAGTTTGTCACCAAGCACGTTTCTCATCAGCTCAAGCAGCTGGGTTCTGTGCTTGTAGAGAAGGGAAAAAGGATATTATACACACTGCTATCGTGACATTTTGACATGTAGTGAAGTGTAGACAGCAGAGCAATGACAAGTCCCAAGTACCTAAAGAATTCCCTCACCTATTCTTATTCACTGATATTAAATAAGAATATTAACAAATTAATATTTTTATTAAATATTATGTATTGATGAATGTGCATTAGTGTTTTAGAGAATTATTAACAAATATTGTGTTAAAGATTGTACATTAAATAATACTAATATAGAAGTATCCATTTTATTTTATTCTTATGCTTCTGCTCTACTTCAAATTTGTAACTGTGTCTATCATAGGACAGTTCAGTTTTGGTTCTTTAAGCAGCTTGGGACCCTTTTAGATGCAGTCAAAGAAAATGAAAACTGTATATTTCAACTGATACTAAAGACCTTGTTTCCTTGTACAACCCACATTAATTGATTCTACTGCCAGGATGGCAGTGTATAGTTTGATAAGTGGTACTGTCTGAAAGCTAATAATTCTGCTTGATTCTGATTTATTTCACACATCTTTTAGTGCTGCACTTTGAATAGATTAAAGGGCCATTGCTTCATGCTGATTTAACTTCACTCATAGCACCAGTGATGCCTTCTCATTGTGTATAGAACATCAGATTGGTTTTTAAAGACTTTTCATTTTTTTGTGGTTTGGGTCTAGAGCAGACATTCAGAAACAGTCTTTAAGTACTGTGGTCAGATCATGAAGTGCCAGTGATCTGTGCAGAGAAGGGACACCCAATGCAGAGCCACATACCTAGCCCAAAAAAGCTCTTGTTCAGTTTTCCTTTTCCCTCAGCCCCCTTGGAGCTCCCAAAACAGAGGATGTGATCTGAAGGGGCATTAGCACCCGAGAGACTCTATAATGGATTGAACCTCTTGAAAATTGTTTCCTCTCTACAGGGGTTTCCTTGTAGAAGATGAGGACATGGTACTGTAATAAATGACTCCCATCTAACTTTGCTTTGCTTTGCCAGGTTCATCGAGGGATAAAAGGAATTGTGTCTGATAAGTTTGGCAACCCAATAAAAAATGCTCGTATTTCAGTCAGGGGCATCCAGCATGATGTCACCACAGGTAATATTTTTAATTTGAGCTTTTTCCTGGGGCAGGGTGAAAGCACTGAGAGCTTAACCTGCAAAAGTCTGGTCATATTTGATAAAAATGGCACCTTAATGGAGAATTGAAGGCTCAGCTGTGGGTTTGTTTCTAGAATAACAGGAGAGAAGACACATCAAACTGGCTGTTGAGTCTGTCATGTCTCTGGGATGACACAGTCCTTGCTGTTAAAACTTCCACCTGGAATTCCCTGCTGTCCATCAAAGCCAATGTGTCTTCAATGAGATTCAGAAATCCACCTTTATGTTTCATGTTTGGGGAATATGGCAATAGCCCTGCTCAGGGGCTGTAACTCAGCATGCGGAGGCGTGGAGCCCTGATAGAATAAGTTGGTTGAAATACTGTGAGCACGAGGCGTAGACATTAGAGTAGGGTCCACGCTGACTTTAACAACAAGAATAACTGCAGTGATTGAAGGGCAAGCAACCTTTTTTGTTCATGTGGAAAAGCATAAATATATGCAATTTTTGGACAACAGTTATATCAAATGCAAAAAAGTAGAACATTGAATTATGTTCACTTTATACCTGTCACCAGCTAGTAAACATGTATTGAGGCATATGCAACTGTTAATTTTCACAGTCATAAAGTTCTGAGCTTTTAGGCTCTCATTGAAATCAATGCTCTCATTTTATTATTGATTTCAGTGAGAACAGGGTAGGCCATAGGAGTGCAAAATAAAAGACATGAATGGTAACATTTTGCTCTAATGATAGTTGTTGAATCAATTTGGAAAGCCAGAATGGTTTATAATGCAGTGGATGCTTTCCAGCTTTCAAAAAAACTGACATTAGAGGGGATACAATAGTGGAGATGATGCAGATTCTTGAGGCTGGTGGGAGACTGGCATGAATTAGGGTCTTTTTCAAACTTCTTCCCAGACAATGGCTTTCCATTGGCAGTGGACCTTTAAAGAATTAAGAATTAAATAAAAAATGTGTTTACATTGAAGGAAAAAGGAGTATTTGTTCTTGAGTTAGGTGGGGTTAAGAATGTCATATGATTAAAATGTCTTTTAATTTCAGTGTTAAAAAAGACTGAGGAATTCCATGGGAAAATAGCATTAATGCAATATTAACTGAGTTGAGAAACTTACCATTCAAAATAAAGGAAATATAAAATGAAGAAGAAATACTCTGTTTTAAAACTCCCTACTTTTGCCTGCAGGCTCTAACCTTCAGCTGGAGGAAATTTACACCCATTTTACACTAATGGCAATTTATACCAGCTGCAGCTCCAACTCCATAGTCTGACGTGCTATAATGTCTGCAAAGTAACTGAATGTAATATAATAAAAGCAGGGATTTTTTAGCTCCTTAGACATTATATATATATATATATGTACACACACATATATATATATACATTGCAGTCTGGATTCTGCTTTCACTTTCTTTAGTTTCACATAGTTTTAAATTCATTTGCATTCTTTGGAGTAGTTCCTTGTACCCCTGGGAAAGCAGCATGAAGGAAAGCTTCCCTTCCCTGTGACACAGGCACAGCAGTTACTGACATTTTGTATGTGAATTTTACTCCATTAGCTCCCAAAAGCCAGGTTTTCACAGGTGAAGACTCTTCCTGTCATTTAAGACTTTGCATCTGAACTTTTTTCAAAATCTGAATCAAAATCTGAGATGCTTTCAAAACCTGCCCCCTAAATGCTTGTGCTATCTGTGCATGCACATGTGTGTGAGTATGTAACTATAAAGGACGCAAGACTAAAAACTAAGCTCAGTTTTCTTGTGCCTTTGCCTTTCCTAAGCTGCTGATGGAGACTACTGGCGACTCCTGCCTCCCGGGACATACATAATCAGTGCCCAAGCGGCGGGATACAGTCGGGTTATGAAGAAGGTCACCCTTCCTGCCAGGATGAAACGTGCTGGGCGAGTTGACTTTGTATTGCGACCTGTTGAGGCTTGGCCCAACAAGCTCCTCCGCCAGTCGATGGACGACGTGTACGACCCGTATGACCCGCTGGAACTTTTTGACCCTCACACCCAACACGGGCAGCCCGAGGCTCGAGGGGGGTCACCGCCGGGCAGGGAGAAGCCCTGGTGGTGGTCTTACTTCAGCTCTCTAGACCTGCACAAACCTCTGTGGCTACTTAAGCAGCGCTGAACGGCGTCACGGTGCTCTGCTCACTCAGCGTCACTCGGCTCACTCTGCTGCCCTTCCACCTGACTCCAGATGCCCTCACTGCTCTTGGCAATATTTAAATCTGGTTTATTTGAAAATACAATGTTAATTCAAGCACGCTTACTTCTTTTGTTTTCTCTTCACACACAACTGAGTATGTTCAAATGTTTTTATATATTAAAAACAATGGTGCACACCCATTCAAAGGCCAGGTTTTATGCAGCTTTTTTCTTGGTAATGCTCTGTACTTTAGCCCATGTAGTTAATCATCACGTTCATTATTTATTAGGTTCTAAGTACCTGCAGGAAAATATTCCCGATCCTTTAATGCATTTTTGTACACATCTTAACACATTAATGACTTTATACAAAAAACAACTTTCAGAAACATTCAGAAAACTCTTTTCTTTCCTATTTTTACATTATTTTAACATATTACATTCAGTTCATTAACTCTTCTAATACAGCTCATAATGATTTCTTTTGAAATCCATTATGTGATATTAGCATTGATTTTGGACAGAAAGTCATTAGGTATTAGGAATTTGGAAATAAATCTGCATCTGAATAAGTAACATGTTCAGTAGGATAGGCTGCTCATAGGCAGGCCAGTATCAATAATAACATATTTTCCCAAGTAAAGTTTCAGAAATTGTCCTTTGAAGTTATACGTGCTAAAAGCATTAAATCTTTACAGTCTTCCTCCTTTGAAACCTCTTGCACCATGAGTAAGCCCATCAAATCAAGAAAAGTGCTTGGAAAGATCCAAGGAGTCTGAATATCCAATCTTTATGATGTTTAAATGTTTATATAATTTGAACAGTTTTTAATCTGTTATGCAAATAGATTTTTAATCTATTACAGAAAAATCGTGGAAAATAATTTTACTGCTGGAAATGTACACATCCTATGATGTAGAAAAATGCATGAGAGAATTTGTGAGGAATTCAGGTTAAAATGTGGCATATTACACTAAGCTTGTTAACATCATGCACTGTTTTGTGCTTATGTACTTGTTAATGAAACTTGTAGCCACCAAAGAAATCATGAACTTCTTTTCAAGCTAGTTGGGTAAAGCTGGGTGAATAGTGGTCTTGCAAGATACTGTACTCTCTCAGACTTCAGATGTAATGTTTTCTTAGGGTGATTCAAAAAATATCCTTAATTTTGATGAAACACATAGGCCTACACTTCCTTTTGGCTTGAACTGGTTAATGAACTCTATATACTCACAGTATTTCCTCATCTAAATGCCACCATGTATGAGTAGGGTGATTGTTTGGAGCTGATGTACTTACTGCAGGAGCTGCTGGATTAGCTGTCTGGATTGCCCTTTGATTTCCAAAAACTTTTTTGCTCATCTTAGGTAAAGAAGCCCACATTGCATGAATCCTATAGTCCATGTGCACATATCTCACACTCTAATTGCTTAAGAAGACCCAAGAGATGAATGATCTTAATTCTGCAACCAGATGCTGCACATGCCTAAGTACCTTATTCCCAGTTGTAATCTGATTGAAGTTAGGAGTCTGTTACTCATGTGCTTGAATGTCTGCAGGTCTGGAGACCATGTAAAAATGAAAGAAAACAATTTCAAAGCATTAACAGAAAGTAATTATATGGGAGTGAATGTACTGCATGCACATGGATAAGTGTTCCTTGCCCAGGCTTGATCAGTTAAAGAAACCCTGAATCCTAAATATGCCAAAGATAAGTGAGCGAGAGATACACCTCCAGACTTTATTTCCAGTAATAGGTATTACTACTGTTTTCTGTGGTCATTTTTTCAAAGCCACCATCCTGTGAAAACAGTGGTAAATCTAACAAAATCAGAACAATACGCCAAATTGCTGGCTATTAGCTGCTCTGTTTATGCACATAATGTCTTGCACACTTAGAAAGATGCTTCCTATAAGTATTTCCTAGATTCTCACAGGGCTGTTTAGAATTTTTTCAAGTAATCATAGTAAACCCAAGCCAGCTGAAATGCAAAACAGAATGACTGTGCAGAAAATCCACTTCTTTCCCCGAGTCCCGAGTTGAAGTAGCAGATGGCAGTCAAGACTGGGGAAAGGTGATTTTCTGGGAAGATTGTAAAGATGTGTTATGTTTGAGAGAATTTGGAATACTAATATTCTATACTACTATACCACTAATAGGAAATCAGTATGATAAAGCAAGTGTAGCCTCCCTGTGTCTCTCTACTTCATCTACAAAAAGAGGTGCCCAGCAGAGAGAAATTTAAGATCAGAATTCTGCTAGTTCACATGCAACAGTCTGTATAGATGGGATGTATTAAAGTGCATTGAAGCAGCTATGAGGCTCTTGGGAAAAGGTATGCCTCAGTCTTCTGGAACTACTTCATTTTTTTTGTAAGATAAAAATCTTCAGTTTTCAGTTCCTTGGAGGTGGAAAAGACTGCCAGAATTCCCTGGGTGGCTCTCAGAAATCCATCTGAGTTTAGATGAGATTTAGGACATCTTTATTGGTGCTTTGAGGTAAAAAAAAAAAAAAAAAATAAAAAAGAAAGAAAGAAAGAAGTGGTCAAATAACAATGCAACCAAAATTAGTAACACCTTTCCTTTTTTATTTGAGATGAATATAGATTCAGTTCTATATTTATCTGGGAGAGAAAGTATCAGATTGTGTTTGTATCCTGTACTGGATTACATAAATCTTCAATATTTATTTCAATCAATAAATGTGTGTTTAATAGCAGAGAGTTTTTTTAGGAAAAAAAAAAAACCAAACTCCAAAACAACCCAGTCCACAACTGTAACACGGTTAAAGGGATTGTGAGTGGTGGTGAAATTTAAGCAGCTGTAGGCAGCTCTGTAATTAATGCATGAAAGTGAACTCAGTGATCAGCTCTCTCATGCACCTCTCTGGAAGATGCTCATGTGCAGGGTTTAATGGAATATAGAGTTAGGAGCATACTAAATGCTTTCTGAATAGAAAGAGGGATTGAAATGCTTCAGTGAAACATGCCCTCCTACAGCTGAAGTACGAGTAACATAGGAAAGAAGTGAAAACCAACCAAAGTTCCCTGTCAGTCTCCATCATGCTTAAACGATGACTTACAGACTGGGCTTGGCCTTTCTCCAGTGCTACTTTGGAGTGTGACAGGTTCAGCA